AAGGATCGAGGGAGATATCCTTTCTTGCTCCCTCTCCAACCAGCACTGCCATAGCTCGCCCCTTTCGATGCACATGTACCAAGACCGTTTTCCCGTCCAGGTTCGGCCTCCCCTTCCCTCTACTATTGCGCCCCGCTGCTCCGCGCAAGTACCCTGGCGGAGAAATCCCTCCGGGTTCGCTCCTCCCTCTTGTAGCCGCCTCGATCCTTCGTAGTACAACTCTCTACTAGTCCACTCATCACAGCGCACGGTCCTACACCCGCATGGGCTCAGCGACCTCCGCCTTAATTGAGGAACACTTCGGGGAGAGCCAACCACTAGACGGCTCGACTAGTCTTTCGCCTCTAAACCCAGGTTTCGACGAACGATTGCGCGTTGCGTGCCTTCACACAGCCCCCCCGCTTTCTTCTTTTCCCACTTTGAATGCACCCGGTGCGGATTCGCGCCAGGTTTATTCCCCATTTGCTTCGCCAGCCTTGCGCTGCACGCTATCTTTTCCTGCTTGCCTTTGGTAGCTCCGCCAGTTCAACGCCCGGGCAGCGGATCAGCCCTTCCTGTAGTACAGCTGTAAGCCGCCGGGCGGCCCGTATTTACTACATTAGTCTGAATTTGTTTCCTGCTGACCCGTTGCCCGCTACACTACTGCCTTTCACCCAGGCCCTGCCTTTCTGCCTGTGTCCCTCCGTTTCTCGGTCTGCGTTGCCCGACACTCCCCCGCTGTGCTATTGCTTCTGGTTAGTGTCACTTTTCGACCGCAGCCAACTGTGCAGCGCCCGCTACCTCGCTGCCCGCTACCTCGTTGATACCCTGCCTGCGCCCGACCCCTTTGTGGCTCCGCACTCCCTGTGAACGTACCCGGTCGGGGAACCGTGCCAGATTCATCCGACTCGTATCTGCTTCCGCACCCCGTCACTCCCCCTCTCACCAGCGTTTCGCTCCGCTTGACTGTGGACTATTGCACTCCCCGCTTGACCGTTGTCCGCGGAAATCTTGCCCCGGCGCGCCTCCCACCTGAACACCCGGCTAATCCTCTCTGTGTCGTTCCAGTTTTGATGGATGTCCCGAAGGACCGGGCCGGGGTAGCTCCTCGCTGCAGCACCAAAGACCGCGCCTCCTGCCTAAACCCCGCCCCTGCGCGGTTCTTGCGCCCACCTATGGGCGTGAGACAGATAATAATAGTATAAAAACTTCGAAATAAATAATATATATATATATGGACATATAAAAACGGCAAAGCGCGCGGTAACCAGGCGAAAGCTGCGGCCCCCGTGGTAGCGAAAGGCGAGGGGGATAGTCCTACCGGCCCATCAACCCTTCAAGCCTTTCCGCCACACTCCTCCGCTCCCTTGTCGCCCGCCGTTGGCCTCGATCCCTGCATCTGCTGCGTACCAGTCCGGTGCTATAACCTATAGGGCTAAGCCCATGCCTGGTACTAGCAGGCCTGACACGCCTTATAGAGAGGTAGCGCACGGCCCTTGGGGCCAAGGAAACGCCCTATACCACTTTCTCGGCCCATACTTGCACAAGGGACTACCCAAAAACTCACGTCGGCTTACCGGCCTCGCCGCGGCTACCCGTCCTTAGCCAAATCCATCAGGTCCCACCATCTGGATTTCCACGTAAGTCCACACCGGCCCACCAAACCGTCCATCGTACCACGAGGAACCAATGAACAAGGTACTCATAGGCTAACCAGTTCAATCAAAACAAAAATGACATATGCTGACAAAAATCCACGCCACGTCTGCGAGTGTAACCAAAAGAAGGGAAAGTCACGCGCGCCTCAAACTTGCGCGCCCACGTACTCTTTACTCTGGTCAACCACCTAGTCAACATAAATTACAGACGCGGTCGTGCCTAGCATGGCATACTTAAGCTTTAAACCAAACTGTTTTTCCGTCATTTGCAAAGACCAGGGCGGATACCCTTGTAAGGGTATTCGCACCGACAACGCGCGTTCAATGAACGGGACCGAACGCAGAGTTCAATCCTGCGCGGGGAAARAAAAAAAAAAAAAAAAAAAAAAAAAAAAACCTCAAAAAATTCAAAAAAAAAAAAAAAGTTATTTAAGAAAAATAAAATAAACAACATTTGCCTGAGCATTACATCTAAATTCGTTACGAAATTGGAAAACAAAATAGAAAACATAAAACAGAAAAAAGTAAAAAAAGAATTGAAATTAGTGAGCGAACACGATTTGACACCGCCATCTTTGGCGATTTTTCATTTATTTTTTCCTCAGCAAAATGACTTCAAAATTGAGAGGCATGTACTTTACATCATACAGAACTTATAGAAAAAAAATCAGAAAAACAAAGTTATTTTTAGGCATTGAAATTATTTTAAAAAACAAATAAAAAAATAAAAAAATAATTGAACGCTGTTCAATTTTGAATGCGAATTTAAATCCGCGTTCAAACGCACATTTGAACGTGAACGCACGTTCACGTGTTCAAACGGTTACACAAGCTGGGCTCGAAGGTTTCCCCATTGGAATCCCAACCTCCTGTTTGAAAATAACACCACAAACACGAGTATAAGTATGATGAAGCTCAAAGAGGACAAACTTCAAAATAATAGCAAAATCCACATAATCCCATCCTTCCTGCTTCTTCCCTCTCAACAGTTTAGCCTCCTTCCCCTTGTTTTTCAAAGGACACCGTTGACCCCCTTCCTTCTCCAAAAGTCAATAACCCAATTCAAAGCCCTCACAATCGAATGATGTGGTAAGTTACAGAACATCTCTTTAACATCAAAAGCCCCAGTTAGCAAAGACTCATCCTCCTTTGTATCCAAGTTGATGGCGTGCAGGGAATCGATTAAAAGATCCGTGCACTTCAGGTTGAAGTTAGACCGCTTTGGTAATTCCCAAACCATGAGATTGATTGCACGTGAAATCTTCTTGCATGCACGTACACCACACTCCGAGAACGAAGGGCAAATTGGCCGTCATTATGAATGTCCTTATGTTTCAGAATGACGTACGCCCTTCCGATAGAGCCTTTGGGGTCCCATTTAGCCAGCTTGCGCAATCCATCAGCAACATATTCCCCCTTTGCCACCCCCAACAGGTGATCTTCGCTATCGTTAATCCTAGACAATCCTTTGTTATAGCAAAAAAACTTGTTCATTCCTTCTTAGGATCGAACTAGGCAACAGACCAAGGTATCGCCCGAATTATGATCGATAGGCACTCGAATCAGGCCATCAAGCCTCCCCACCCACTCCTTCATTTCTTCTTCAGTGCATGTTCCAACAACAGTCCCTCCCCCAACCAGACAATTAGCCAGGTCATGTCTTGAAGCTTTAGGAATATCGAAATCCATCTCCTTCATAGATATTGATATTTGCGCTCTGAGCCTTCCCAGGACATTAGCCCTACTAGGTCGCACAATATTCGTGTTGTTTCTCAGCCAGATAGGGGCTTCCTCCCAATCATTTAATCGAAAACAAACGTGGTCGTCAACAAGCGGAAAGGTCTTCAAGAGAGATACACATGAACATGTACTGCTAACAATTCTTGCGGCTAATCTGAAGTTGGAAACCAAATCACCCACACTTTGATTTTTTAACCAAACAATTCGCATTCTTTTGACCACCATTCGTTTCCATTCCTCATCCACGCAAGCATTCAAAACCTGTCTAGCGCAAGTCGCACGAATACCAGGCTTACTTAGCATATCATCATATGTAACTTTTACAGTCAAAGGACGACGAAAATTTACTCCAAATCGTTTCCTAATCACTCCAGAGACAATGATACGTAAAAGATAGCGACTCCGTTTCTCAGAAAAGCTCCGAATAGCGGAATATGCCTGGACCAAAACATAAAACTCCCAGTTCATCAATTATTTTCGAGAGAAAGGATGGGACAAAAACCTTGCGAGAGTAGGTTTTAAGATTAGTGCAGAATTCGTAAATGGTACCACAACGACAATCAGGGAGAAGTTTCCCGGAAGGAACATCCCCTTCGCTTTCTTTAGTAATTTCACATGTCCTTGCATTCGGACCAGAGAGGAACCAAATTTTCGTTTAACAACCTTCCAGTTTTCCGCCCGCAGGTTCCCGCCCGCACAAGCTACCCCGACCGAAGAAATCCGATTAATACACAGTAATCCAAAATGACAGTGAGCCGAGAAGAAACAATCTCCACAGTGGAATGCAAAATAAGATGAGTGTGTCCCACATCAGAACTGAAAACAACAGACTCCTTCCCCCGTTTGCTTTTTAATCTTTCCCTCTTTCCAGCTCTCTTTCTTCCCTGATGACTTCGCTTGTCTCGACTGTTTAAATGGGGACAGAGTCGCTTGATCAATAACTTCTCCAAACTTAGGACATCCTCCCTTCCACAACAGAATAACGGGATAGCCACATATTGCCCAATCTGACGTCTTCTAAGTCAGGCATATAATCTATGATTCCTTTTTCCCGCCTCGACCACATCCAAATTAATCGTGCGATATACGTCCTCATTCCATCTGACAAGAAGGGACCTAGTAGTCGATCCTACATAAATGTGGTGTGACCAAGGTGAAAGCAGAACGTACACAAGCGGACCATCACACTTTTCAAAGTCATAACCCTCGATTAACAACCTCAACACGTACTCTGTTAACCTCACAGCCCAAGGAATTTGGTCGCGCAGAATGAACCCAACGACAACCAGATGAAAAAAAAACATCGAACGAGCGATCGCGAAGAAAGAAGGAAAAGGACGAGGGAGCAGAGTCAGGGGCCTCAGAGCAGAGAGAAGTAAAGTCAGATGCAGCAAAAGTCGAACACGAAATTGACCTTTTATCCCTGCACTCATTAGCAAGTGACCAAAGTTTGTTCGCGCTCGAAAAAACTTTCCAGAGGTCCGCGGAATGCTTGTCCCCGCCATCAGAATTGCCTGCATCCTGCAAAGTATCATCGCTGAATTCCTGGACCGGTTCCTTCTGCTTCAGTGTATGATCCTTCTCAGCCCCGTCACCGAAAACCCTTTTCGCTCTTGCTCCCGCGAGTTCACAAATGGTTTGTTCATCCTTACCTAGCTTGACACCCTCCTCCTTGCAATATAACTCCAAACCTGATTTCCTAAGTAGCCTCAATTATTTCTTCTCTTCTTCTATAAACTGCGCCTGATCATTGATATCAACTGTTCCTTTGCCTCCTAACGAAATCCTCCCTCTCCCTGGAGTCGCTTTCAAACCTTTCCTGGCTGATTGAATAGCCACTTCCTATAAACGTTCCTTAAGATTAGTCCCTCCTCCCTCCTTAGCTCGCCCTCCGCCAGCATTCAATTTGCTCATCTGTGCCTCCAATTCTTTGACCTGGTTCTCAGCCTCCAATCTTTTCATCTCAGCTTTTGCTATCTTCTTCTTTAGCGCCTCGGCTTCAATATTGGTCAAACGGTGGAGGCTGCGTAGGTTGTTGTACTCGCCCTTCCACTTCCCAGCTTCCTTCAAACTCTCGGAACAACGCGGCTTAGGTGTTCCACGTTCATAGGTCGCAAGGGTATCAATTACAACACTCCCCCTCTTGTTGCCCGGTCTCAACACCTCATTTTTCCACTGATTAGCTTCCGCAAGCACGTTTGCATTTTGTTCTCGTAGGCAGTCTATCTCCTTCTTCAAACCAGCGATCTCGTGCTCGAAATTGGTTTTTACATACGCAGACTGCTTCAGTTCCCCGATCTCTTGCTGTAGAGCGAAGAAAGCATCATCGCTGCTTTGTTTAGCCGTAGCTTGCTTACGTAATTCCACGACCTCCTTCTGCAGCACATGCACCTTATCCCCGCTAGATTGTCCCAACAACTCACTCGACCTCCTCTGAAGCTCATCGTTTTCCTTACGTAGCTTGGTCAACTCGTCACTTGCCTCTCCTCCGAAGACAGCCTCATCGGTTCTTCGATTCCGAGAGAGTCCAAGTGCTTTGAATCTCTTCTCGAAACGTGCGACGCCGTCCATGTCATCTTCAAGCTGCTCGCTCTCCTTCTTCCATCGCAGCAGCTTCTCTTCCTCCTCTTTTTTGATCTTATCTTTCTCCTGTTCTTGCTTCATCTTCGCCTCCTTCTTGTTGTCCTCAACATACTTGTTGTAGACCTGATCTAAGCGTTCTTGATTCTGAGTCCGCCAGTTAGTCCTATAAGGTTGACCATAACTTTGATAACTTGATGTCAAAGGAGCGTACGAAGTTGATGGCGCTAAGTTAGAAGAAGAATTCGGAGCTAGAAGCGCCAACGCCGCCAAGAGGGCCCCCCCGGTGGAAACCGCATTGACACCTGTAGCAGGCGGCCTATAACCGGCTGATCGATTCAGGCAATCACGGACCCAACGGTTGAGTGCTCCACACTGATAACATCCTCGTGTGGGTGGCACCCAGCCATATTCTCCTAATCAATAAGTGAAAGAAAAGGAAAAACACACACCGTACGTTAGCAATTTCGAAAAGTAGATGACAATAAACGAGCCACTCAACACGTAGTTCAATTTCTAAGGTGGTTACAGCGTCGTGATGATGGTGAGCAAGTCACACACAACATCATATTTATCATCCACCAGTCTAAGATTACGGTGGGCATAAGACTGAATCTACTCATGCACGACTGACCGAGACTTCAACAAGTCGACACCAGATATCTCATAGACAAATAGATGAGGTAGATACCATAGAGAATGACGAAAAAGAAGTGAGAGCAAGAGAGCCAAACCATAGAGAATGACGAAGAAGAAGAAATAAAAGAAAGCAAGTGAAGGTAGAGAAGAAAAAAAGGACACGTCAAAGTCTCCCGAACGCGAGATCGCGGGCTTCGTAAAATAATCATGAAGTACAACCCGCCGAACTTAGCTCTCCAGTAGGCTTTGTGCCCATATCTTGTAAGCATAGCTAAGATCTCCGCCATTGCCTGACATGTTTCGTCCGGAGCCGGTTCCGGACTCATCAGGGGCATTCACGCAGTCGACTGCCATCTGACGTATCATCAACACTATTTTAAGGCGGAGAAGACCAAAGAGACCGACAATAGAACCGACAGGACTGAAGCCAACCGAGCTCAGCCCCACCCAGCGCAAGAACGAAAAAACAGGAACACTAGGCCCACGGATCGAGACTCAGCTGATTCAAGAAGAAAAAGACCACAGAAGTTCAGAAAAGAAGACCTCCGGATTGAATCCCACCGAGATGAGAAAAGCACAGATTACCAGAGTAGAGGTCTCTAGCCAAGATAAACACTGCCTTTCCTGGCTGCGTCTCAAGAGAAKGTCCCGTACCTGGTTCCCAAGACCAGGTCCCAAAGACCATCGTGCACCASTTAACAGAAGAGTGCCCCCTATCCCTTGGCCATCCCTCACGCGCTAGCTCTGGGTCCCAGCCAGTCAAGGYTGCAAGGATAGCATCCCAGGTAAGCAATGGAAATTCCCTCCTGTCTGCCAATCCCYCCTGATCAGACGCGAACATGCAACYTGAACGGTTACCAGGCAACCCTCATGTCAAACCTCCTCAGCTACAATGTGGTGCTAGTCACACTAGGGTATAAATCGGTCTTGTGGTGGCTCAGCGAGCAGGCCCAAAGAGCACTCAAGAGGAGGGTGGTGACCTATCTGTGGCGGGGTGACAGTGAAAACACAAAGGCTATCAGTCGGGTGGCGTGGGACTTTGTAGTGCAACCAAAAACTAAAGCAGGACTGKGTATCTTGGACCCTGCAACGCCGGACTATGTATCACCYGCGGTCATGACCGCGAGCCATTTTACTGCAGGTCATGGTCATGCCCCCGGGGGGCCACCGCGGGGGCCAACCACGGCCAAAAAACCCCATGATTTAAAAAAAAAAAAAATACTCGGCCAAAAAAATAAATAAATATATGGGGTTGTAGGGTTTAACCCATCGGTTGATCTTTCCTTCCCTCCCTCCCTCCCCCTCCTCACCCGACGCAGCATAAAAAGACATCAGAAGAGTGACAGAGAAAGGGCTTCTGCTAGAAGACCGGAAAGTACCACTGGTGCCCCCCAGTGGTTCTTCCCGGGCCCCAGTCTTGGCATGCACAGGAAACAAAGCCCCTGCAGCAGAAACACAGTCTGGTACAGGGTGAGGCGGCCTTCAGGGAGAAGACTTGGACATCAATAGCAGAAATTCGGCGCCTGGTATGGAATGACAGWGAAAGGGTTCTGCTAGAAGTCCGGAAAGTACCACTGGTGCCCCCCAGTGGTTCTTCCCGGGCCCCAGTCCTGACATGCGTAGGAAACAAAGCTCCTGCAGCSGAAACACAGTCTGGTACAGGGTGTGGCGGCCTTCAGGGAGAAGACTTGGACGTCAGTAGCAGGAACTCGGCGCCTGGTATAGGGTGAATAGGTCGTACTCCCAGCAGGTCTTCAGCAGGTTTTTTCTCTCAATTGATTCTCTAAAACCCTGCTCAGTTAAGCCCCTGGACCTCGGGGCGTTGGAAGCTGGCAGGGTTGCATGCACCAATTATTTTCTGAAGTTTCATTTCGATGACCTGCACAGTCAATCCCCTGTTTCAGGGTAATCAATGCTGGCAGGAATCTCCTACTTATTTTTCTGATTGATTTTCTGTACTCAAGCTGTATATGGGACGCTGGACCCGTTTTCCAGCAGGTGATGCTCCCCACCAATAGATGGAGCCTCTCCCTGGGGTAGTGGCAACTGCTCTTATCAGCACCACTATCACCAGGGGGTATTTCTTCAAACAAAACAAACAAACAAAAAAAAAAGGTTTGAAATTCCCTACATCCTCATATTTGTTTTTTTGGATTTTGTTGTTATTTGTGAATTTAAAAAAATAGAAAACGGAAAAAAACAAGTTTTAAAATCAAAAAAACACAACAAAAAAATTGAAACTTCTTTTTTTCTCATTTTTTTCTGATTGCTGGTGTGTGTGTGTGTGTGTGCGCGCGCACGTGTGTGCGTGTGTGCGTGTGTGCATATGTGTGTGTGTGTGTGTGTGTGTGTGTGTGTGTGTGTGCATGTGTGTGTGTGTGTGTGTGTGTGTGTGTGGCGGGGGGAGGGGAAGGAGGACCCCTCCCCCACCAATCAATCAATTGATCAATCAATTGATCAATCAATCAATCAATCAATCAATCAATCAATCAATCAGTCGATGGAGCCTGCCTGGGGGTGCTAGCGGTGTCTGCTCATATCAGCACCCCTAGCACTACCCAAGGCCAAGTTTGAAAAAAAATAAATAAAAAAAAATCAATCAATCAGTCTATCAATCAATCAAATTTATTTTTTTCTATTTTTATATATATATTTTTTCACACACCAAAAACCACCCCCTCGAAAATATTTTTTTTTTCACTTTTTTTTGTTCAAGGGGGTGGGGTCGGGGTTCCGGAACCCCAATCCGCAACCCAACCCCTTCTCCCCTCGGCCGCGGCGGGCCGCCGAAG